ACAGCTTCAGGTTATTTTAAATACAGTTATTAACACTGTGTTAGAAATGCCTGGTGTTATTTTGACATTGACAACCCGGGCTACTGGAAGGTGTCCCTGCACATGGCAGGGGGTGGGACTGGATGAGCTTTTTAAGGTCACTTCCAACCAAAACCATCCTGGCATTTTATGATTAAATGACAACAGTGGCAAGGACAGATGCCTTAAATCAGCATCTGTGACAGCCTGGAATTGCCACTGGAATTCCATGACTTTAGTCTTCTTTGGTTATTTATTTCGGGGAGGCTGAGCAGAAAGGGGCAGGTACTGACCTCCTGCTCCACATACTGCAGCAGATAAACCCATCCTGTGAAATCCTGCGGATTGTCCTCTACTACTTTCCAAAACTTGTCAAAATCGGGAGGGAAGTCAGCCTCGATATCTGTGGTCTGCAAGCTCTCAATGTTTGGGATCTCGCTCTCCTGCGTGTTGTCCTCGTGGAGGTCGGGGGAGCTGTCTGGGGACTGCTCCATCTCGGTGACACTCATGATCTCGGTGCTGAAGTCCATGTGCTGCTCCTCGGGCACGCTCTGAGCGCTGGGCTCCGTGCCCTCAGTGCCCACGGTGGGCTGCTCCTCCTCCGTGCTCTCCGTGTTCTCCATGGCACCGCTGTGCGACTGGATCCTGGGGGAACAGAGCCATCAGCACGGCCGGGGCACAGCCTGCCTCTGAATCACAGTGCCCCACGTGCTCCAGGCATCCCCGGGTCTCACCACAACCCTGCTCACACCTGCCTCACTGTCAGCCTTGCTCAACACTCAAAAATATTAACACTGGTCATAGCTTTACATCTGCACGTACAAATCATTGTGGGCGTCTAAAAAACTACTACAGGGAGCTACCGAGGTGTAAAAGTGAACCATTACAGTTTTCCTGTAGGAGTCCAGTGCAAGATTATTCTACATAAAGAATTATGTTCAAATTCCATAGAACATATCAGGTCCACGTTACTCCAGCAGTGCCAAGGCCACCACGGACCCATATCCATAAATTCATTCAATTTTCCTATTTAGTACAAGTCAGTAAATTCTTTGTGAAGGTGTTAAAAGGTGCCCTCAACACCAGGCTAAAGCAAAGACAAGAATTTCTGCCAGCACCAACTCAGTCTCCATTAGTGATGTCCAAATACACCCAGCAGCACCAGAGGGCCACAGAAATGCTCTGGCTGCCCCTGACCTGCAGCCCCTCAACTCCCACCCACAGCCAGTGCCAAGTGCTTCCTCCCGGCCCTTGGGACAGACTCCTGCTTCCTCCCGGCCCCTGGGACAGACTCCTGCTTCCTCCC